TAGTTCTTTGATTGTGTTTGTCAGAGTTTTATAATTTTCCTCATAGATCTTGTGCATATTTTGTTAGCTTTATACTTAAGTATTTCATTTTGGGCAGTGCTGATGTCAATGGTACTGTGTTTTTAATTTCAAATTCCACTTGTTCATTGCTGCTATATAGGAAAGCAATCGGCTTTTGTATATTAGCTTTGTATCTTGAAACCTCGTTGCAACCAATGTTTGCAGCCCCGTCTTTCACTGTTTAGGCCTCGTTCCAGCTATCCCTAGTGCTTGAGATGCCCTGAATGTGGCTTTGGATTTGTAGGGCTCTGTGCTTCTGCTCACAGGTTATGCTGCCTATAGTGCTGTTGCCTGTTGTCTCTGCCTGTTGAAACCTTACCCACGGATCCAGAACCCAAGCTGTCTGAATTCCTAGGGGATGCCTTTCCAACACCTCTCTGCAGAATTGCCTCTCTTCTCTGCGTCCTGATGATGCTTTGGCTCCCATCTGGACTCCAGCACCTTTCATGCCCTGGCCTGTATTGGAGTAGCTTGTTTAGCACTCCTTCCTCCGTAGGCGGCCAACTCCCAAGGGCAAGGGTGGGGACTTACTCACTCAACCTCTGAGGGCCTAGGACAGACAGCACTGTTCATGCATTCAGGAGCTCAGCCAGGGTAGTCGGATGCAGTTGACATTGCTGAGCTGCAAGGAAGCCAGGCCACTGGGAGTTAGCCTTAGGGACCTCCCTGTCTTAATTTGTTTGGGAACCCTCGGAGTGTCACAGAATAGAATTCATTACTGACATTTCTTTGTAGCCCACATCGCCTGCCATTCAGGGGGGCAGGGAAATTAAATTCATGCAGCGAGGCTGGCCTTTAACTAGTAACATCCCGTTGACTGTTGTCACCACTACACAGCCATCTGCGAGTGTCCAGTCTCCGCTCAGGCCCTCGACGGGAGAGAGCCAGAGGGATACTGATCGCATTTTCTTTTAAAACCACAGGTGTGTGGCTTCTGCTTTCTAACCCTTGGAACTTGCTGGCTTCAAGATCTCAGAAGTGATGCCCTGAGGCCGGCTCTGCAGTGCCTGTCAGTCCCCAGAATCTGTCCTTTGTCCTTGCTGAGCTGGCTACAGTCTCTCTCCCTACGCTCTGCCACCACTCTGTCCTCCTGATTCCTCTTGACTACATATTATACTTTTCTGATCAAAAGCTGCTGGTTTCCAGAAGGCTGATTCTGTTTTTAAGGAGAGTTGATTTGGAGGACAGTTTATTTTAGATCTATTAAATTTGATTGGACCTCACCTTCATTGTTATGTATCCTTAGCAGCTTAAGATTAGTTTTGGGAAAAAACAAAAACAAAAAACACCAACAACCAGTTCAATCTATTTTGTGACAACTTGTGTGACTAATTAATGCTCTGCGGTACACTGTGAAATGTGCAAGGCACCACACAAATGCCAAATCATAACACATTTCCTGTTTGAAACTGTCTTAACAAATTGAACATCTGTGTTACAGTAATACACTGTATTAGTACATGGAACATCTTCTGTTGATTCACCTTGTTAAGCAGGAAAATAATCCTTATGGCTTTATAAACCTCCTGTAAGTTCTAGTAGGTGACATTTTGAACATGAATTTAATTGAAAAAATGAAGGCAGGTGTCAAGCATTTAATAGGCGCTTCTCAGCCGGCTCAATCAATTTTGGAACAATTGCTGATGATGTAACTCACCAATGATATGAAACTAACATAATGGATTAGATGCTATTGGTCTTTGGGGAGGAGGGGTTGATTGGGCAGAGTTCATGCTTAATAACTGACCAATGTCATCGTAATTTGGTCTTCACGGAGTTTTCTACTAAAGTTCCTCAAAGAGCAGAGAGAAATAGGGAAGAAGGTGGTAGTGGCTTAACCTGATTGGCCCACAAAACTGGTTTTAAAGCCTTGAGCCTTATGTAAATGTTCAAGTGACTTTTGTTTTCTATTCCATGTTATTTTCCTCTACATCTTCAGCTAAAAAGATTTGACTGGGGAGGTGCATCTTTTTACTGTGTGGCTTCTGGGCCCCTCAGGCTTGAGAAACTGGTATAAAAATGGCAATTTGGGTACCTGGGTGGCTCGGTCAGGTAAGTGTCCAGCTCTTGATTTCAGCTCAGGTCATCAACTTGCACTTTGTAAGATTGAACCCCATGTCAGGCTCTGCACTGATAGCATAGTGCCTGCTTGGGATTCTCTCTCAATCTCTCTCTCTCTCTCTCTCTCTCTCTCTCTTTCCCTGCCCCTTCTCTGCTCATGCTCTCCCTCTCTCAAAATAAATAAATAAACATGAAAAAAAGTTTTTAAAAAATGGGAATTTAATAAAAGGGGGCATAAAGAAGATACCAGAGGAGAAATTGTGTGGTACATCCAGACAATGGAATATTGTGCAGTGCTAAAAAGATTTTTGAGATCTCGAGCCGTGAAAAGACAAGAAAGGAACATTAAAGGCATATTACTAAGTGAAAGGAGCCAGTCTGAGAAGAGCTGCATACTGTATGATTCCAAGTATATGACATTCTGGGAAAGTCAAAAGTATAGAGACAGTAAAAAAAAAAGAAAGAAAGAAATCAGTGGTTGTCAGGGGTGCGGCAGGGGTGGGAGGAAGGGGTCAAACAATGAAGACCAGAGGATTTTTAGGACAGTGAAAATACTCTGTATGATACCGTAATGAGAGCCGCATGTCGTTACACATTTGTCCAAACACCCAGACTGTATAAGAAGAGTGAGCCCTGATGCAGACTAGGGATGCTGGGTGACTATGATGTGCCAGTGTAGCTCCATCAGTTGTAACAGGTGTTCCCGCTCTGGTGCAGACAGTGGCAGTGGGGGACCTGAGCGTGTGTGCGGGTGCGGGGTGCCTGTGAAGTCCCTGTATCTTCCTCTCAGTTTTGCTGTGAGCCTAATAAAACTGCTGTAAAGAATGATCTTAATTAAAATAAAAAAAACCTAACAGGGGCACATGGGTGGCTCAGTTGGTTAAGTAAGTGAGGGACTCCTTTTTGTTAAAATTTTTAATGTATTTATTTATTTCTGAGAGAGAGAGACAGCATGAGCAGGGGAGGGTCAGAGAGAGAGGGAGATACAGAATCTGAAGCAGGCTCCAGGCTCTGAGCTGTCAGCACAGAGCCCAATGCAGGGCTTGAACCCATTAACCATGAGATCATGACATGAGCTGAAGTCGGACGCTTAACTGACTGAGCCACCCAGGCGCCCCAAAGTGAGGGACTCTTGATCTCGGCTCAGGTCATGATCTCACGGTTCATGGTATTGAGCTCCAACTCAGACTCCATGCTGACAGCACAGAGCCTGCTTGGGATTGATTCTCTCTCTCTCTCTCTCTCTCTCTCTCTCTCTGCCCCCCCTCCCCTTGGGCTCTGTCTCTCTTGCATGCATTCTCTCTCTCCAAATAAATAAATAAACTTAAAAAATAATAAAATAAAAAATAAAACAACAACCACCAGAAAACAGCCAAAGTAACTTTGGTGTTTAAATGGAATCCTTCAGGAGGGAAAGGAGGGTTGCCCAGCTGAGAAGCAAGAGGCAGAGGGCACGACTGGATTTGCCTCTGGAGTGACCACTCAGTAGGGCTGGATCAGGGGAGACTGAGGTGGGGGGGGTTCTGCTGAGGGACTGTCACGGTCTTCTGTGGATGGTGGCCTGGACCCTGCTGGCATCTGGGGCTGTGGAGGAGGGGCTGGGCCCCATCATGAGGTGGCAGGTGGAACTGATTGATTTGGTGGCAGCATCATGGCGGGGGTGGGGGTGGGGAGGGAGACATCTATCAGCTGTCACAGAGCACACTCAGCCCCCTGCTGGGGGTTTCTGTCCGATCCGCATCAGAACATGTCAGCCGCCTCGAGTGATCAGTTTGGGCAACTCTGATGGCGAATTTGGGGCTTAGTGAGGTTGAGGGTGTTCCAAGGTCACCCTTAGAGTAGCAGGGCCCATGTCCAAACGTGGAATGGATGGAATCCACAAGGGGCTGTCTAGCCGGGGGGTGGGGGGCAGGAGTGGGTGGAGGAGAGATGCCTCTTCCTTCTGCAGTCCAGCCCCAGCCCCTCCTTATTCAAAGGCACCCCCGCCACCCCATATTCTCACAGCTGACTCATTTCTGGCCTCTGCTAGGCAGCACTGTACTTGCAGTCTAGTGGCCCAGGGTGGACCCACCTCGGGGCCCCCTAGCTGGCTGCCTTCATGTTACTCTACCTCTCAGAGCATCACTGCCCTCCTAGGAAAAATGCAGGTGACAGTTTCACTGTGAGAAGGGAGAAAAATCGGGGCGCCTGGGTGGCTCAGTCAGTTAAGCGTCTGACTTTGGCTCAGGTCATGATCTCACGGTTCGTGGGTTGGGAGCCCCGTGTCGGGCTCTGTGCTGACAGCTTGGAGCCTGGAGCCTGCTTCGGATTCTGCATCTCCTTCTCTCTCTGGTCCTCCCCTGCTCACGCTCTCTCTTTCTCCAAAATAAAAAAACATTAAAAAATTAAAAAAAAAATAAATAAATAAAAAGAAAAGAAGGGAAAAAAATCATGGAAACGAAGCCAGGGCCAAACCCGGTGCCGAGGGCGACGGGAAGATGGTGTGTTTGATGCCCTTCGATAATGTTGGACTTGACTAAATGGGGAGTTCTGAGTTGTAGCCCATAACTGCACTTTGAAAACAGAAATGTTAGTCTTGGCCATGGAATTTGTCAGTGGTGGTGTGTAGCGTGTTTCGCCCAGTAGCACAGGGACACGCACGTCTCGGTATGGACCTGGCTCTGGGCCATCTGCGAAGACCTCTGTGAAGTCCCTTTCAGGTGAGAGTGGTCACTCTATCCTGGTCCGAACTCTCCGAGAATATGGTTCTAGAAATACCACCTGCTTTACTAGCACATCCTCTTCCTTTGGGCCTCTGAGGTGACTGCATGCTGTTGAAACCTCTCTGGTGGCCTGGTGACTGCGCGCACTTCATCATTTTCTCTTGGCTTTCTCTCCAGTCGTGGCTGTTTACATAAAGGAGTCCTGGTGGGCCACCGAAGACCTTCTGCGAACCTCTGATCCTGCCAGAGAAGGTCTGATGAAGGTGAGGGGCCATAACCTTACCCAGATATTGCAACACAGGGTTTCAAGTCTCTGTGCTTATTATCACGTTAATAACTAAAAACAGTCTGCCTCAGTGGATTAGTCTCCTGGGGCTGAAACATCAGGAATGTACTGTCCCACAGTCCCGAGGCTACAAGCTTGTCCTAGCTGCTGGTGGCCTCAAGTATTCCTTGACTTGCAGACGGTCATCTTCCCTTGGTGTGGGTCTGTCTTGGTCAGGTGCCCTCCTCTTTCTCTATGGACACCAGTCAGATTGGATCAGGTCCATCCGAGTGACCTTGTCTTTTTTTATTTTAACAATTTTTTTTTAATGTTCATTTATCTTTTTTGAGAGAGAGACAGAGAGTGAGCAGGGGAGGGGCAGAGAGAGAGAGGGAGACACAGAATCCGAAGGAGATCCAGGCTCTGAGCTGTTAGAAAAGACCCCAATGCAGGGCTTGAACCTACTAACCATGGAGATCGTGACGTGAGCCAAAGTCGGATGCTTAACCGACTGAGCCACACATCAGATTGGATCAGGGCCCATCCCTAATGGCCTCATCTTAACTTGCTCATCTACAGAGACTCTGTTTCCAAGAAAGTCACATTCACAAGTTAGGATGGCAACATCTTTTTAATCTTGAATACCCTGCCAGTAAAGAAGAGTAAAAAATGGCTCTGTGTAACAGACATCTGGCTATTGGCAAATCTCTCTTACCTTCCTGAGTGGCCCCTCATGTCTTAATCCACATCATCTATCTAGCGTGTAGGAAAGTTCTGCTTCTAGCATCCAAGTACTGTCTATTGCTACTTACTGTGAATCAGACATTGTGTTAGGTGCTGGCCTGTGTGTTATCTCAGACTCTGCGGGGATTATCTACATTTATTTATTTAAAAAAATTTTTTTAATGTTTTATTTATTTCTAGGAGAGAGAGAGACAGCGTGAGCAGGGGAGGGTGAGAGAGAGAGGGAGACACAGATTTGGAAATAGCTGAGCTGGCTGTCAGCACAGAGCCCGACGTGGGGCCCGAACCCACGAACTGTGAGATCATGACCTAAGCGAAAGTCGGATGCTTAACCGACTAAACCACCCAGGCGCCCCGGGATTATCTACTTTTAGAATTTTTTTTTTTTAATGTTTATTTATTATTGAGAGACCGAGACAGAGCGCAAGCATGGGAGGGGCAGAGAGAGAGAGGGAGACACAGAATCAGAAGCGGGGTCCAGACTCTGAGCTATCAGCAAAGAGCCCGATGCGGGGCTTGAACCCACAGACCATGAGATCCTGACCTGAGTGGAAGTTGGACACTTAACGGACTGAGCCACCCAGGTGCCCCTCTATTTTTAGAATCTTAAAGGATTTTGTTTTGCAGTTGAAGACATTGAGGCTGAGCCATGCAGCTAGTAAATGATTTAACTGGACATAAACTCCAGTCTCTTTGACATCAGGCCTGGAAGTCTTTGACGGGCCATGGTGTTTTTAGAGTGGTTATAAAGCCAAAACCCAGGATGTCAGGGGTGAGGGCAGGTGCCCAGCAGCTCCTTGGAGTCCCTGTGGCATTCTCTCCACTGAAGTTTGCCTGGGGCAGAAGCTGAGGAAAAAGGTAGGAACTAGTGAAGAATTTAGACTATTTGTCTCACGTCTGCCTGTTTTCATTTGATTGGCATAGTTATCTTAAAAAAATTTTTTTAATGTTTATTTATTTTTGAGACATTGAGAGACAGAGCATGAGCAGGGGAGGGGCAGAGAGAGAGGGAGACACAGAATCAGAAGTAGGCTCTGAGCTCTCAGCACAGAGCCCGATGTGGGGCTCGAACCCACAAACTGTGAGATCATGACCTGAGCTGAAGTCAGATGCCCAACCGACTGAGCCACCCAGGCGCCCCTGGCATAGTCATCTTAATTCCATAGGTGCTTCTTGGCAGTCTTGAAGTGGGGGATCTGTCCATAGTCGTCTGGACTTCCACATGATCTCCTTCTTTGGGTCCTATAAATACTAAATGAAATATCAGTATTCTTTCAGGTTGGGTTTAGAAAATGAACAGATAAATGTGTACTATAAATTACACTCTTTCAAAGTGTATAATTGAGTGATTTTCAGAATTTGCACAGAGTTGGACACCAGTCACCGTTATTTGATTCTGGATTGTTTTTGTCACCCCAAAAGGAAACCCCTTACCCATCAGCAGTCACCCCTCATTTCCCTCTTTCCCCAGCACCTGGCAATGGATATGCTTTTCGCCTCTATGGATTTGTCCATTCTGGACATTTCGCCTCCATAGAATCAGAGAGTAGGTAGTCAGTCTTTCATGTCTGGCTGCTCTCACAGAGCATAGAGTCTTCAAGGTTCATCCACACTGTAGCGTGTGTCAGAACTCCGTTCCTTTTTATGGCTGAATAGTATCCCATTGCATGGATAGACCACATTTGTTCATCCATTTATCTGTTGGTAGACATTTGAGTTGTTTCAACTTTTTCGGCCATTATGAATAATGCCGCTATGAACATCTGGGTGCAAGATTTTGTGAGGACATAGATTTCCAGTTCTCTTGGGTATGTACCTGGGAATGGAATTGCTGGTAAGCTGGACCACTTTACATTCCCACTAGCAACGTCTGAGGGTGTCCATTTTTCCATGTCACCCTCCCTCTCCACACTTGTTACTGTTTTTTTTTTGTTTGTTTGTTTTTTAATGTTATCCATCCTACCGGATGTGAGGTGGTATCTCATTGTGGTCTTGATCTGTAGTCTCTGATGGCTAAAGACATTAAACATTTTTTCATGTACTTGTTGCCCATTCATATATCCTCTGTGGGAAAATGTCTATTGAAATCCTTGGCCCCCTTTTTAATTGGGTTGGTTGACTTTTTACTGTTGAGTTGTAAACATTTTTTCGTATGTTCTGGGTGCAAGTCCTTATTGCATACATGGCTGATACGATTTGCAAATATTGTTTCCCAGCCTGTGAGTTGTCTTTTTCATGGCTGTCCCCCCCCACCCCTACCCCGCAGCTTTACTGAGATACATCTGACATAAATGTTGTGTAAAGTTTGAGGTCTACAACCTGTTGATCAGATACACTTACATATTGCAACATGATTGTCACAGTGGTGTTAGCTGCCACCTGCATTCCATTACATAATTGCCATTTTTTTGTGATGAGAACACTTAAGATCTACTCTCTTAGCAACTTAAATATAACACAGTATTATTAACCGTATATATTATCATGCCATATATTAGATTCCCGGAACTTATTCATCATATAATTGGAAGTTTGTACCTTCTGACCGATATCTCTTTTCTTCCACCTGTAGCCCCTGGTCACCGCCATTTTATTCTCTGTTCCTATGAGTTCAGCTTTTTAAGATTCCACATGCATGTGAGATCATGCAAGTTTGTCTTCGTCAGACTTATGTCACTTAGCATGATGCCCTCTGGTTACATCCATATTGTAGTACACAGCAGGGTTTTTCAGGTCTGGTTTGAATTCACTCAAAAGATAGTGTTTTGAAAAGCATCCCCCCCCCAAAAAAAAAAACCTGGCAAATGTAACGATGGCTTGAGATTCAGCAGATGAGTGTGGGGTGCCCAGTGGGGTGGCCTGGTATGCCTATTTGTGTTTCTATTCTGGTCCCTTTCCACAGGTGGGCCGGTGGTATTTAGTGGCGGGCTGTTCTGAATGCCAAGGAGGAGTCTGATTTGCTCTTTAAGCCATATTTCCCCCCAGAATAAGAGTGATCACTTCTTCCATGTGTCAATTTTTCTGTGTTTAGATGAGGAAAACCCCAGATTTTCTGACAATGTGGCCTATGTTGTGAACAGAAAGAAACTTGGATGTTACTTGCACTTCATGACCCACGTGGTGAAGATCTAGCTGTCCCAGCTGTCTTTGGAGAGATAGTTTCCCTTTCCATTTCTAAATCTTTGGGTCTTGACATTTATTTATTTATTTTTCTCTTAATTGCATTTTATTTCTTAGCCAGCTCTTCTTCACAAATTACCAAAAAAAAAAAAAAAAAAAAAGGTTGATGTTCTTTCTGTTAACATAATTAGTGGTCCTAATTGAGGGATTAGAACTGGATCTCAGTTTTGTGTTTTCAGAAATGTTTCAAAGTCAGAATCACATGTCACACATTTTTTCCCCACCTGTAATGAAATTGGACAAATTAAGTGCATTTTCTCTTTCTCCTTTTTTTTCCTGCCAGATTTTGATTGGATATTTCCCTTCTGCCAGATGCAGTCTGCTTTTCTCTTCTGGCTCTTCTCTGAACCTTTTGGCTTTGGAAGTTGAAAAATACAACCTCCCACATCACCCCACTCAGGTTTTGTGACCAGCGAAGTTATTTCTTAAAGGCTGAACTTTGTTTGGCCTGCTACTGTCTGAGATACAAAATTGGGGTGGCTTTTCAGAGTTAAGCTGGTGTGGGTTTCACAAAGCATTTTCTCATTTAAGATTTGGCTCCAGATGAAGGCGAACTATTTTGCATTCTGGACCAATTAATAAGTTTATTGGCACTGAACGTGTACCATTTGCTAGGGTGCTGCAAGCTGCCTTGTTTTTATTATCAGAGCATTTGAAAACAAGTGTTTTCCTCCCTCATCCTCCCCCCCCCGCCAAAGCAAGTGTTTTAAGGACCACTTAGGCAACCTTCTCTCTTGACCCCTGGAGGAAACTGAGGCTCAAAGAGATTGGGTGTTGTTAAAGATCTCCCAGCAAATCTAGGCTGTAAAGCCAGTATCATAGATGATGATAAAAATTTAGGGTTAATTATTCAATATAAAACTAAGCATAGATATTTATATGAAACTTTCCTAAAGTCTTAGTTCTTTTTTTTTTTTTTTTTTTAATGTTTATCTATGTTGAGAGAGGGAGATAGAGAGCGAGTGGGAGAGGGGTGGAGAGAGAGGGAGGCTGGGAATCCCAAGCAGGCTCTGTAGCTGTCAGTGAGAGCCAGACTTGGGACTTGAACTCCTGAAAACCTGAGATCATGACCTGAGCTGAAATCAGGAGTTGGGTGCTTAACTGAGCCACCTAGGTGTGCCCCCGCCAAGTCTTAGCTCTAATGGATGAAGTTGCAGAAGGGAACCATGAGCCAAGCTGCAGCAGGTGCACTGGCCTGGGACTCTGAAGCCCGGGCCTGTTGTTTTGAGCCTGCCTGCCTCTGACGGGGCCCTTGCTCCACTGTCATAAGTCCTCTTTGGAATGAGGCAGGGAAATCAATACATGTAATCACTTACCCTCTTTGAGTTTCAATTTCCTTCCCTATAAATCAGGACCTCCCTGGCATGTGGGGAGAATGGGATGGTAGCTTGTGGGTGGAAGTGTGGAAGTCATAGCCCAGTTACTGGCATTGCTGATCTCATGGTGATGCATAGGATGGGGTAACAAACACCCACACATGTAGGCTGTCACATAGCAGTGCTGTCTGTTCATCGAGAGTTGATTGAGTTCATCTCAAGTGCTTTCTTGTGGTTGCCTGGAGGACCGCATTCAGAAGGACTCTGTGACCAGATCCCGGCTCAGCCACACAGATGGGGATTGATTGGCTATGTCTGCTGTGGGTATAGGAGCGGGACGCCTCTGTTTATGCCACATATTTGCCACCTGTGGGCTATACAAATGCAGAAGATTTTTTTTTTAATTTTTAATGTTTTATTTATTTCTGAGAGAGAGAGAGAGAGAGAGAGAGACAGTGTGAGCAGGGGAGGGTCAGAGAAAGGGAAACACAGAATCAGAAGCAGGCTCCAGGCTCTGAGCCAGCTGTCAGCACAGAGCCTGACGTGGGGCCTGAACCCATGAACCGCGAGATGGTGACCCGAGCCGGTCGGACGCTTAACTGACTGAGCCACCCAGGTGCCCCCAAATGCAAAAGATTTTAACAGACAGAGGAGCATGAAGTCATTTGGACTTTTTGTGAGCCTGACCTTGACCACATACAATTTCCTCACTTGGGACATTGCGGTAGGCAAGAAATGGTTTCATGTTATAGCCTTAGAGCAAGATGAGCCTTGGCTCCCAGTCATTCTCTGAGATTGGGTCTCTAGTGTGTACTCCAAATCTATCACATCACAGCCGTTGAAAATTATCTGCTTTTGGTGTAGCCATTGATCTCCCCCAATTCTTTATCCTCTTTCTGAGGGTCAGAATTCTGGGGCGGTTATTAAAAATGCAGAGTGGGGTGATTTCTGGACATGTCCAATGGAGCTGCTGAAATGGCTTGCCTGCCGCCACTGGAGGTGACTTCTTGTTTTGTTGACCTGCAATGGGTTGTTCTCTCTACTCACTCACATTCCACGTCTGTGGCCCTGGGGACCCAGGAGGGCCCTCTGGCACCGCCCCTCGCTCCTAGAGGCCGATGGGTGTGAAAAGTCAAGGATGGGAAAACCTCTGTGAGAAATTATGATTCACAGTTTGGCTCCTGAGCCCGGAAGGAATCCCGTAATGATGGCGCACACACCTGGCCCCAACACGCGGGTTGATTCCAAGCGCAAAATTTATCGCATGTGATTTTCTTCTCTCACTTGCTTGTTCTTCCTTTTTCTACCTCCCCCCCACCAAAGGTTCGGTCATTTGGGGAAAGGATTGTGCTTTTCATTCTAAACGTCGTTATTTTTGGAAGATTGGAGAGAAATTTGGATGCTGGTGATATGTTTTTTTTGCCTCACTCTGTCAAGGAGCAAGCAAAAATTCTGTGGCGGGATGGAGCGGCGGTTGCGTTTTACACAACCAAAAGGAAAGGTAAGGGACACATGGCCTTCTGGGTGAGGGAGCCTCTCTAGATGTCTGCCTGCTGCGGAGGACTCCCTCAGCACAAGTGTTGCTTGGAGAGAATCTTCTGGCACAAGAAGTGTTCCTAATTCAGCTGTCCTGTAAATAAACCCAAGGTATGGGTTTCATTTTCTCATTTCTCATTCTATTGGCAATTAGGGTGCAAAGCGTGTTCTTTTGATTCTCAGGCAGTGCCATGTCCCTCATAAAATGCTTATTGCTGTTAATGGTGTAAAATGACTTTGCAAGCACAACGCTCTTCATTTCTTTTTCTTTAATATTACCAATGAGCTGTCAGGAAAAATACCATTGCTAATAGCTGACATGTGGTGAAAAAAACACACAGGATGCCAAGATTTATAGACATTACCTCAGAAGAGGGGGAGGTCGGCCGTGATAATAAGGTTCGGGTAAAATACTGGGACTTATTTTTAGGGGTTGTGACAAGAAGTGTGATGCTAACACCATTTTGCCTCCGGGATTGCTCTCTTCTTTAAAGTTGCCTTCTTTAGTAGTTTCTTGAATTTTTAAAGGCTGTCAACATCTCTAATCCAAATGGTCTCAGCTTTCTCCTTTAGTTCTTAGTGTTCTAAATCTTAGCAAAAATAAAGTTTCCCAGGGAAACACAATAGGATGCTGTTCTCTTGAGCTAAGTGTTTTCTCAGGGGATGGAAAGGCTGATTGTTGGTCTTCGGCTATGTGCATACTGTGTGTTGGATCCACCTGTCCAGGATGGAGTAAATCTGCATTTTTCCCTCCCCCCCACCCCAGTTCAGTGTGGGAAGACCAGTTTCTCATGCCAACAACTCCTTTAGTTAATTATTTGTCAAGGTCAGTCTTTCAACTCCTTTGATCACCATAGCCATTTACTCTTGGATTTCAGTGCATCATTTCGCTTTTTCAAGTGGCTGCGTTCTTTAGTCGTTTATCTTCGATAGACCAAGGGATCCGGAGAAGCATTAAAATGGAAGGGGAACCTTTTGTAATTCCTCTTTCATTTTCTAACACATGGCTGGTCTTAAATCTGTCGCAAACTCATCTGTGCTGTAGATGTCCTACTCATAGTAAAAATGGTTAATGGACCCTATCTTGATGTGTGAGAATCACAGCAATGGGGTGAAAGGAGTGTGAACTTGTCTCTCCAGCTCCTTCCGTTGCAGCTGGTGGCAGCGATTAACCAGGATGTGAGGATGAAGTACAGGTTGGTTGTGGCTGCCTCATTCTTCCCGGGGCTGACCCAGACCTCAGACTGAAGGGAGGACCTTCAGATGTCATGATCAGTCCAGGGGCTTGGATTTCTGCTTCCTCTTCATTTTTGATGCATTCCATGAATTTGGTGGAAAGTTCTCTGAAGCTGCCTACTGGGTCATGTTGTTTTCATCCATGAGCTGATTTTTTTTTTTTTTAAGTGGCAAGACTTTTAGTTACTCTACAGTTTATTTCATTTGAGAAGTACCACACCAGTATAAAATCAAATAAGGAAAATATAGACTTCGGGTATACATTGCCAATTAAAGCTTTTTATTTTGTATGTTAATCAGCAGAAAAGCTTCATTTCTTTTAAGGACAAACAATGAAACCGTGTCCAAGTCCTTAACTTACAGATGCAAACCAAGGTAGCCATTTAAAGCGTTAGCTATTGAGGTACAATATGTACACGGTGGGGGGGAGGGGACAATGCTTCACCATTTGCAGCTTATATCCAGTGTTGCTCAATGGACAGCTGAGCTCTGCTAGTGCCTGTGTGTCTTTGAGGGTAAGAGCACATCTTCAGAACCAAAGGAGAACAGCTGTGTACGGAAGCGTTTTAGACCACATGGGGGCGGGGGGGACAGGCTTCACGCTGAAGGGAAGAGGGGGGGAAAACAGCTATGTCCCTCCCCTAGGGCAGGAGGCTACCTTGCAGAGTGCCGCAGCAGAAAAGTGCACCTCCCCTTGCTCACGCTCAGTGAATTCTCTACAGACCTTGGCGGCATCCTGCAGCAATGGGTCCTCTGAACTGGTGCCGTGGCTTACCAGAAAAGGCATTCGTCCATCAAGTTCATAGAGATGGCCACCCGCCATGAAAATTCACTTCGTCATCTCCCCGACATTGGCCTTCCTGGGCCACGGCATCATGGGCTGCCTGAATGGCCTCATTCTTCTCAAACAGTTTGCTCTGTCTTCAGGAACAGCTTCTCTGTTTCAGAAAGAAACTGTTTCAGGACTGACCCATTCTCAAATTCCAGTTTGTCATGGTTATCGGCCATTGCGTGTATAAGTCCCATGGAACCTAGGGGTCCCGATGGTCTGCTTCATGAAGTACAGCTTAAAATTTTTTTTAACTGCCCTTTGCTCAATTAGCTTATTTTTAGAGAGACAGAATAAAACTATTTCTGTTAGAATAATTATATACATGTTGCCCCCAGCAAAGTGCGAGAGTTGCAGCCATTCCACATCCTTGCCAAGAGTTGGTATTGTCAGTGTTCTTAATTTTAGCTATTCTACAAGGTGGGAAGTAGTATTTAATTTTGGTTTTAATTTATGTTTCCCTAATCATGAACAGTATTGATTATGTTTTCATGTGCTTTGTTGATGATCACATCTTTTCTTTAAGTGCCTGTTAATTATTTTAGCCCGTTTTTTAAAAATTAGGCTGTTTGCTTACTATTGAGCTTCATGGTTTCTTCATATGTTATAGATGTCAGTTCTTTATTAGATATGTATCGGAAAACATTTTTATTTTGGCACAGCAGTATTTTTTTTTTAAATATTTTTATTTATTTCCAGGAGAGAGAGAGACAGCATGAGCAGGGGAGGGTCAGAGAGAGAGGGAGTCACAGACTGAAACAGGCTCCAGGCTCTGAGCTGGCAGTCAGCACAGAGCCCGACGTGGGGCTCGAACCCACGAACCGCGAGATCATGACCTAAGCGAAAGTCGGACGCTTAACCAACTAAGCCACCCAGGCACCCCAGCAGTATTTTTTTAAAGAGCAAACATGTTAAATTTTGATGAAGTCTGTTTTATCACATTACCACTTTTCATTATTATTCAGTTCAAAATATTTTCTAGTTTACTTTGTGATTTTTATGAGTCATTTTAAAGTGAGCTTTTAATTTCCAGATATTTGAGGGCTATTCCAGATATTTTATTTATTTATTGGTTTCCAATTGAATTCTGTTGCAGTTAGAGAATGTAGTCTGTTACATTTTAATATTCTAAAAAAACTATTGAGAGTTGTTTAATGGCCCAGTATATGGTTTATATTGGTAGATATTCCCTGTGGATTTGAAGGAATGTGTGTATTCTGCAGGTATTGGTTTAGTAGTCTGGAAATATCAATTGGATTAAGGTGATTGATAATATCATTCAGATTTTCTGCATTCTTACTGATATTTTTATCTAGTTCTTAGTTTGTTCAAGGCTTTATGATTATGAATTCATCTTTCTCATCTTTCTCATTTTAGTTCTGTCATTTTACTTTATGTGTTTTGAAGGTTTGTTATCAGTCACATCTATATTTATAATTGTTCTACCCACCTGATGTATTGACCATTTTATCATTATGAAGTCCCCAGTTGTCTTTGGTAATATTTCTTGTTATAAAGTCTATTTTGTTTGATGTTAATATATAGCTACTTCATTTTTCTTATGCTTGCTGTTGCCTGGAATATATTCTTTGTAGTTTTTGTTTTATGTTTAGTCTATGTCTTTATTATTTGAAGCATATATTTTATTGACAGCATACAATTGGCTCTTTGATTTTAAATCTAGTCTTAAAAATGTCTGTCTTTTAGGGAACTTGGGTGGCTCAGTAGTTAAGCCTTGATTTTGGCTCAAGTCATGATCCTGGGTCATGGGATGGAGCCTCACATATGGCTCCATGCTTAGCATGGAGATTCTCTCTCCTTCTCTTACTCGCCCTCCTCTGCTCATGTGTGCAAGTGCTTCCTCTCTCTCTCAACTAAGAAAAATAAAGTCTTTGGTGTGCCTGGGTGGCTCAGTCAGTTGAGCGTCTGGCTTTTGCTTAGGTCATAATCTCGCGTTTTGTGGGTGTGAGCCACGCATCGGGCTCTGTGCTGACTGCCAGCTCGGAGCCTGGAGCCTGTTTCGGAGTCTGTGTCTCCCTCTCTCTCTGACCCTCCCCTGCTCACGCTGTCTCTCTCTCTCTCCTAGAAATAAATAAAAAATATTTAAAAAAAGAAAAAGAAAAAGTGTTTGCTTTGATTGAGGTATTAGTCAATTTACATTTAATTACTGGTATGGTTGTGAGGCCTTCTCTTTTGCACTTTGTTTTGTGTCTTCTGGTTTTTTGTTCCTCTGTCCCTCCTTTATGTCTTCTTTTATAGCATTTCATTTTAATTTCTCTATTGGCATTCTAGTTCTATATTTTTGCATTTTTAACTTTTTAGATGTTGCCCCAGGATTACATATATGTCTTAAACTTTCCCAATTTACTTGAAGTTAGTATTGAATTCCTTCAGGTAAAATATAGAAATCTTGCAGCAGTGTATTTTTGTTTACCCCTCATTTTACTTACATAGTATATTGTTATCTATCAGATCTGTTTATGTTATAAACCTATTAATGTTGATTTATAGTTTTTAATTTAGTAGTTATATCTTTTAGAGATTAAAAAATGAAAGAAAAATATAGTTACAATAGTTATATTCTTACCTTTAAAAAATGTTTTTTACGGGCACCCTCCTACACTGTTGGTGGGAATGTAAACTGGTGCAGCCCCTCTTGGAAACAGTGTGGAGGTTCCTCAAAAAATTAACAATAGAGCTCCCCTATGACCCAGCAGTGGCATTGCTAGGAATTTACCCAAGGGATACAGGAGTGTTGATGCATAGGGGCACATGTACCCCAATGTTCATAGCAGCCCTCTCAACAATAGCCAAAACATGAAAAGAGCCTAAGTGTCCATCAACAGACGAATGGATCAAGAAGATGTGGTTCATCTATACAATGGAATACTACATGGCAC